AGTGCGGTGTGGTTCAGACCAATTGACCTTCAAGATTAGCCAATTCAATTTTCAAACTTTATGCCATACACTTTGAAATACATAGTTCGGTAAGTCGAGCAAAACCAGTTCCTCCAATAATTCATTCCGATTGTACGTTGATTGGGACGGTGTTACTCGATTCATCTGAAATCGGTTTGTGGATAACGTGGCATACGTAGGAAGCGAACCTTCACAAAATGGTCATGACTCTCCTAATGTTACATGAAGAGCTATCGTAGAGAGTTGAACGGTAACATTTGGCTGAATTGTTCGCGATTCCTCAATAAAATAGAGCTGGTTCAATCCTTATAGCCTTTGTATCCATAGAGATAAATGTAAATTCGGCAAACCTCGAATACGGCATAAAAACCATTCATTGAGAAATAATCTGTTAACAAATGTCTTGAATGAGCTTTGGTGTGTGGGAACACATTTTGAATGTACTCTTGTTAGAAAACATCTTTCCTACACTTTTCTGAACGGTAATCAAGTGCTTTGACTAGTTTTATCATAGTTATTGTTCAGAAAAGATCCATTTGCAAAAAATCTGGACTTCGGCTGCATTCGAACCAGCCACAGATACATCATGCCATAACGCGCCAAGCGCTCTACCAGCTAAGCTACGAAGCCACGCCGGAAACTCAGAAATTTCACATTTGGACCTAGTTACCCACCCAACCAACTGTGTCATCTGGAATCCACCAAATGATCCAGCCGGTTGACTGCCCAAGCAAAATTTCTCGATCAATTTACACTGGAATCCACCAACGCCATCGATCAGCATTGATATATCAGAGCTTCCGGCGTGGCTTTGTAGCCCAGCTGGTAGAGCGCTTGCCGCGTTTAGGCGTGGTGTCTCTGACGCTGGTTCGAATCCAGCTAAAGTCTAGATTTTACGCAAATGGATCTTTTTTAAATGATCAAATTTGCCAAACTACTTATCAGTAATTAACAGTTATTGTCGTGCTGAATAAGGGTTAGTCATAACATGTTGATATGATGGCAGACATCACCACTAACATGTACTCAACTCGATCCATTTGTTGATTGTATGCTCAAATGTACGAATATACCGCATCATGTATTAAAGACGACTTCCTCAGGCATATTCTCCTATTTGTGCTAGTGCTCCACATTCATTCATTCTGAAATAATAAAGTGAATCTGATCACAATTTGGTTGATACACGCAACCGATAAGTTCATTTGAAAGTGTGTACATTTAGTCACGATTAGCACTTTCAAGGGTAACAGGTTTTATTGATAACGGAATGAATGGCAATATTCGATATTTACAGATCATGTTAAGATTGACCTACCTTTCAGTTCGTCGGTTATTTCTGATTGCACGAAACAAATGTAACACCTAGAATTACCCTCGCAAGTTGGCGGTAATTTTCATATGTATGACCATATAGATCAGGACAAAATAATTGGCAGATGATCTACATTTCAAAGTCTGCTCGGAGGCACACTGCTGATGTTCTAGACTATCTAAGCGGCATGTTAAGTTATGTATTACGAATGCTTTCAGATGGAACGATATCATTCTGATTATGTTTCCCTAAATGTGTATCAGGTCGAGCTCGACGTAGGTTCTTCACACGTATTTTAATGAATGTTCTCACAAATTCGGCTCCGTTCAAAGCATTGAACTAGACTATTCAGATGACATAAGTTACTAAATGAATTCCTGTTACACCCTCGTAGTAACCCAAATCACGTGTACGGGACGAAAACAAAATCGGTAAATCGAAAGTGAAGTTGCTGAAAATAACAATCTCCTATAATTGTGAGTACTATTCACAGGTGAATCGAGCGAGAAAAAGGTGAAAACTGACTGGTTTTGAGCTCACAGAACTGGTTGTAAACGGCTGATAAGTAAGGCTCCGGTATAATTAAGAAGCAGTTAATTGGTATTGTTCAGTGGAATCATGAACGTTGGTGCAGTCCCAACGTTATAACCTGCAATCAAAAAACACTTCACGGTAGATGAAGAGAAGCCGATGAATCTCATTCAATAGCGGGTGGACTAATACATCATTCAAGCGTTCTATCTGCCCTGTCAGTGTAAAGATTTTGGAAGCCGCAGGAAATCTGGTATGCAAAATGGCTGGGTGAAATTTCGAGTTTTGGAAGAGAGTGAATATAATCTCCTGTTCATCACTAAACGTTATTGAGAAACGCGAGTGGACAGATTTTGTTGTTTCTTATTCCGTCTAGTAAGGAGCATATTGTTTACATACAGTTCAGCTCGTTTACGACTTGGAAGACGGTCTACTCATTTTGACCATTAACATTTCAGCTGATAATTAGACAGCTATTCCGGTTCCTGAATAAAAATTAGCTACCAGGATTGCACTCGATTTTCATTGGTTTACTGATGGACTAAGTTTGACCGAGTATTCCACTATATTCGATATTAATCGAAGACTGTATTTTACGCGCAATGTTATGGAACTAACAAGAATCAAATTTGATATGATGTAAACAAATTTTAGTGGACGCTGTGTATACATGAATGGTACAGCGACACAGCATTTTACGACAACACATAAATCACTGTAACATCATATATGCTGTTGATGACCGACTTACTGTTGAGAGCCTGCTGTATCTCTTTGTGTAGAAAAATGCAATGATCCCAATTAGCAGTATGTCACGTGAGTGCGTAAAGTTTAATTTGTTTTACAGCAAACATTACAGCAGATGGTGCCAGGATAAAATGAGTGTAATTCACCAGCTACTGAGAATTGTTTATATGTATATGTGTTAAACACAGTAATACTATTTTTACCCATTTGGATATAACAGGTAGATCCGCCCAGTTTTGTTTACCGTCAATTTCACGCATGGCAAAAGTGAAACGACCAATCCTATCTAGTGGATAAAGGATGGTTAGATTAGACAATTACGACCACGATTATATTAAAAAGTTGTCTCTGGTAGTCTGTTTATTAATGATTCAATCTCCGGACACCAGTCTTACAGGAATCCATACGTTAAGCTACTTTTCAATTAATCCTCAAATTAACCTAAGTGTTTGACTATAGCTCAATCTTGTAGATGTCTGAGATCACGGTTAAGTCACACGAATGAGCTCATGCGTCAATATGGAAGATGCGTATTTTATAACGGGTAAGTGGAATTCGTTTTGTTACCCACTCGAGCAAGTCTAACTAGGCTTTCGAAATCGTTCAACAAATTTCGGTTTCATAAACCATGATCTGGGATCGATAGCATAATGAAGACTGCGGTTATTCTTGGATCTATTTAACACTGTAAAAAGTGGGAAAGTCTTATACCTATCAAAATTATACAGATTGTTCTATACAAAAACATCTTTTTGAGGGAAATGGTTAATAAATCTTCCATTTTTGATGAAATGTATCTTGGAACACTTCTAAAGCAAAAACGTATTTCGTTACTGGTTTGTGTTTTAGTCATTCAATCGGATGACCAGAGCAGTCTTAACCAAATACAAGGATTAAAGTCTCTATTTCATAGAAACAATATAATTTAAAAGTCAATTTGTAAAAAGACTCAAACTTTCTCCCACCGTAGCGTTTGTGATTTTTTTACTTCAGTTAATCTCACTAGAATCACTAATTAATTATCGCTAATCAGAATATTTCACTACAAATTTCATGCACTTCAACTTTATTTCAACGGGAGTGAGGGGTTCTAAACAGGTGGAAACTGACAGGAGATACACCACAGTCATTGCATCTCTCTTCCAGGTTATCGGACAGTCAGGGTGGTACCAGCCAGACTCATTAGTCCTCACCACAACAAACTGCTCTTCTTACATTGAAGTGAAAATAAATCACGCATGTCTACTTATGATAAGTCGAGACATTCTGAACGTAACCAAATAGAAGGATATCGTTACACGTGGTTCTGACAATTTTTCTGTTACTTTAGTAGAAAATGTTACCCATTTCTCGAACTCAGTTGATTTGGCCGGATACTCTTGATCTTTCCGAATGAAATGATGGAGTATACTTGATTGCTTGCTGTTTAGCTTTTTTCCGGAACGCCTACGCTTTTTTAAATTCTGCCGTGTTACCAATAATCAGTTGTGATACGAAGAACGCGTGAATTCCAATGATTTGGTGCGGCAGTGCGTACAGCTTCAGTCAGAATATTTCGCAGTGGAGCATCAATTATGATCTATTGGACTACCGAGCGTTTGCTGATAGTGGTAAACCAATGAAAAAACGCTTTAAAAAGTTAAGCCTACTCCAATGGAATGACTTACTATCCAGTTCTTTTGTCAAGTCTTTGTACAGAAAAATACATTGAATTAAACTAGTATTATCTGGCGTCGCTTTGTAAACTTCAGTTTGTTGTTACATAAACCACCACGATTCACTTCGGTTGAGATTTTGTTTTGTAACTGAAACCAAACTGACATCGCTAGTATGCATCAGCTCGATTGCAGTTGCGTCAGATTGTTGTGTACTTGTTAGACGGTATTATGGATCTGGATCCTTGATTTGTTTGTGAATCTTCGTTTACTTTCAACTGGTAGACAAAATTTCGTTGTAACTTGTTCTAATCTCGATCAGACCTCTTTTGTGTTTCGGGAAGATTCGTTTACTTGTCAGTATTCATCTGGTAGACAAAGCAAATCCTGCTGACTAAATCTTGAAACCGCACAGCTCCTAGAAGTGCATGTTTGTCTGCCAACCGCTACAAACAGTTCGTTGGAGATGGAGATCTGAGTAACAGGTTGCAGACCTTCTTCGGAATTGGAGGATTCAGTCCTCTCCGTGCAAATGGTAAGTTCTGCGTCGTGAATCTCCCTGTGTGTCTGCTTTGAGGTAACACTGCACTTGGCTGAATGTTGTTACTGGGCCAGTGGATCTTGAGTTTTATTGAGCAGTGACACTGTAAACATGGAACTCAATTTCTCGTTACCCTTGTTGACCAATTATGTTAGCAGGCAATTACATGAGCTCCATTGATTTGCAGCATTACGGATTACAAAACAAATATGGCTACTAATTGCTATTCCATCGATAATACGTGTTGCATAAATACGTAAACATGGTCTACGGGTTGAACCAGTACAAATCAGTACAGATAAGTCAATGAGTGAACTGAGTGAGTGTTCATTGTTTTGAATGGTGATTTTAGGGAGGTGGCATTATTGGAGATGTTGCCTCAGTACCAAGGTGTTGTTTCTCGGCTTCTGTTGATTCCTACCTTAGTCAATCAAAACACAACACTTTTAACAAAATGGTGTTTCTATCGATCGTTGTTTGTAGTTAAAATTACACCTTAATCCAATTCACATTCTGGCAGATGGGAACTCGTCATACTTTACATTACAACAACAGTGTCGGTACTATCTACTCTCACTGAGATATATTTGATAACTCTGCAGTTACTCAACTTTCTATCCTCGGCTTTTCGAACAAAAAATATTGGTACGGCCTAGTCGTTTTATTCAAAGCAGAATGACGTGAAATTTTTGATGCAGATGTGAAATGTTTGTTGAACTGATCACTTTCAAACCCGAATGAACGAAACCTGACTACCTAAGCCAACTGTTCATGAGTCAACCTTGTGCTTGTAGGTTAGAGGTGTAATGTTGTTGGATGATATCTATCCTAACTATAAGTT